ATAAGCCAAACACCCCCTTTATGTCTAAAATATAAAATACATTTACGTGCGTTTTAGTAATTTGACAAAATTTTAGTGTAATATTATAAAATATGACAAGGGGAAGCTCACTTTTTTTTTTTTTTGCAAAGTTTCATTCTAAAATTACAAAATGTGATTAGTGGCATTATTGTAATTTGGCAAACTTTTATCCTAAAATTATAAAATCTGAATCAAGGCATTTAGTAATTTGGAAAAGTTTTTGTCTATATTTACATTTGTCAATATGAGATATAACGTTTGGGTGAGGAATCAGTAGCAGATTGAATGAACTTGGAAGGAGAGGATCTAGAAAATAGGAATATACTTTTATATCTTTCCATATAACAACAACATAGTTTCATTTAATTGAGTAACGGTTTTTTTTTTTTCTCAAAAATGGCAAAGTCATCAAAATTACATAAATCTTGATTTTTTTTTTTTTTAGGATTTCCAATACAGTACCCTTACTGATTTATGACATTGGACTGAAATTGTTTGTTTGATCCTTATTGGTATATTCATTTGTAAGTTCATTTCATAAGTTGGAAGAGATTTGTTTTGTGTAAGAGAATATAATGGCTGGTGTATTTATGTTTCGTACTTGTTCAACTGGAAAAGAAGACGCGTGTAGTCAAAAGAGAGACAGAAAAAGTGAGTTAAGGGAAGTTGAAGGCGACAACAGAGGGGGAAAAGCAACTACTCGGCTCAATACCAACCGATAACCACCCTATATAAACGTAGTGTTGGATAATTCAGAATCTGGGACAAAAAGAGTTCTAGGGGTATTTTGGGAAGTTTTTTTATTTGTATTGTTAACAGGAGGAAGAGCTTTGGATGAAAAAAGTTGCAATTAATATTTCAAAAGATGTGAAGAAATTTTGCATGAAAATAAAGAACCTAGCTAGTTTTTCTATGATTTAGTTCAAAAAGAGTTCCAGGGGCATTTTGGGAAGTTTTTATTTTAATTGTTTACAGGAGGAAGATATTTGATGAAAAAAGTTGCAATTAATATTTAAAAGGATGTGAACAAATTTTGCATGAAAATTGAGAACCTGACAAGTTTTTCTATGATTTAGTTATGTTGGAATTGCAAAAATTATATGTCCACGAGTAAAGTAGTAGTAGGAAAAGAAGGGCCTGAATGTATAAACCTTGCCTCCTTTCTCTTTAAACATTAAGAAATGAGAATTGAAACCTAATAACTTTCTAGAATACAAATTTATTTTTTTGGTCATCAATTGTCATATGACTATTCTATTGTTTTTCTAGATATGGCTTCAAGAAGTTTCATCTCATGCCTGACATCAAGGTTGCTTCCCAATTTCCATTCTCATTAACTGTATTTGATAAATGCATAAGGTTTTAACTTACTAATTACCATTTTCTAACTACATTCATTGTTATTTAAACATGACATGATGGATCTGTAAAAATCAAAACATCAATTGATTGAGTATCTTAATAGATTTTGAAGAAAAATAATTGGATCTTCGTATGAAAGAAGAATTGTGACACCAATTAGACATAAAATATGTAAATAGTGACACAATATTATCCTAAAAATGTGCTGCTGATCATTTTTATTGGGGCATGCATGCAAGGAAAATAACATAAAAGTTAACGTGTCCCGTTCTAAATCATCCACATAGATAATTGACATCTCTTTTTTTCCTAAACTAACAATCATCTTTGGAATGTAAAATATACCAGATTTCCACATATTAGACGGTTCAATACAAATTTATTTTGACGATTATCTAACTACTGTTTGCAATTAAGAGAGAGAAAGAGATTGCTTGTTAAACGTAATGTATCAGAAATCAAAACCTAATTGATTAAAATAAAAATCCGAACGAAGAGCAATTTTATAGAGAAAATCAAAATCAATTACAAACAATATATGACATACCGTAATTTCAATCAATAACAGAGCACACAAGCGATTGGCGGCGACAATTGAGCGCAGAGGTGGTTGGCGACAGAAATCGAAATCCTAATTTCTTGGGCGGCAAATCGTCGATCGTCAAACCCAAAAAGTTGGAGACATCGCTCAAGAACACAATAGGATTAGAAAGAAGTGTAATTGAATGAAAATCATAATAAAATTGAAACAACCAACAACATTCCGAAATTTCTTACACAATAGGGTACAAGCACTTGGTTGCAAGCGTTCGGTGGCGGTAATAGAGTGCAGAAGGTTTTTGGTGAGACAAATCGAATTCCTATATTCTTGGACGATAAGACATCGACAGACTCAAACGAAGACAATCGGAGAAGAATGAAGAAGAAAGCGGTACAAGTATTTACAAAGTGACGCTGATAGTTTTGTGGGCATATGAAGATGTTCAAAACGTAGAAGGACGAAATAGTAATTATATACAAATTGACGTGGTGGAAGTCTGAAACTATAAAAATTTACTGTTTAAAGACTTGTTGGGTTTTAATATATGTATATAATATTAGTACCTGAATATCATCAAATCAAATGTTATAAGATGGGATACAAAAAAAAATATAGAATACAATCAAATCAAAAAGTATATAGACTAAAGTATTAATATTTTCAACTATTTAACAAGAAATTCTTAAACTTTATTTTTTTAACAGCAAAATCCCAACTATCGGCAATTTTTTATATGTTTATCATTTTTTGCCGGTTATCCGATAATTAGGACTTTACTGTCAAAAAATAAAGTTTGACACTTTCTTATCAAATCATGAATTAGGACTTTCCTATTAAAAAAATAAATTTTATGACTTTTCTTGGCAAATCGTTAAAAATATTGAGACTTTAGTGTATATATATCCATTTTTTTTATATAAATTTAATGTTATGATAGTCTATAAGTATAAGAGTTATTGGAACCTACTCTGATCAACTAGATTCTATTGAAATCATTAACGTTTACTTCTTGTTAAATAATTTTTTTTAATCTCAATAAACCGATATTAAAAAAAATTGAGATAATCAAGAAAGAAGGAAAGAATCAGGTTCTGTTATCTTTTTGCAGTCCTAAAAGTGAAGAACTAAGAAATCGGAATAAACAAAATTGCCCTTTTTACCCCTTCTCCACATTCACACCTTTTTGATTAGGTGTGTGTTGTTGTTTTTGTACAATTTGTCCCCTCTTTTTGTTTCAAGATTTGACAACAAACCAAGAAGAACATTTTACAATTCTTCTCACCTTCTCTCGCTCTCTCTTTTGCATTTGTTTTCCCTGATCATGATTGTAGCAGGGTAAAGATGATGATGGTAAGAAAAACAGTGGTGCTACGACGAAGACTATACAATAAATTCATAATATTTTCAACGATTTGACAAAAAAGTACTAAACTTTATTTTTTTGATAGTAAAGTCCTAATTCACTATCTGACAAGAAAATCCTAAACTTTATTTTTTTTATAGTAAAATCCTAATTACCGACTAACCGGCCAAAAATAATAAGCATGACAAAAATTGACGGTAGTTAGAACTTTACCGTTAAAAAAACAAAGTTAAAAAACTTTATTTTTAAATAATTGAAAATATTAGGACTTTATGTATATATCTTTAAAATCAAATGTTACAGGATGGGATAAACAACAAATATGGAATACAGTTCACTCATATTCATTTCAAATATTTCTATTGTAAGATTTCTATTTACTTATAGGAAATCTGCGAAAAAGTCCCAAAATTTTGCCCCAATTTATGATTTAGTCATAAATTAAATTTTACTTATGAAAAAGGACAGATTACTGGCTAATACACTCAGTTTGGCCCTAAGAACCGGTAATCCTTATAAGAGCCGGTTACCCCAACTCATTGACCTTATCACCTTCCATTAAACACCCCGTCATCAACTTCTCCTCTGTAAAAACCCCTTCTTACACTCCATTGAAGCAAATTGGCATCTTCAAGCTCAGTGGGAAGTAAGAGCAATATCCAATCACGAAGGCAAGCATTAAGGGCAACATGCTTTTGTGAAGACCTCGTTGGTAAGTGGACATCATGGAGGCCAACAAAACCTGGCAGGAGGTTCACCGGCTGCCCTAATTTCCGGGTAAGTATCCCTTAAACCTCTTTAATTACATCTCAAATCTCTTCCAATTAGGTTTTATTTCCTATATAATAGGATGAGGAAAAAGATTGCAAGTATTTTGCTTGGGTCGATCCCCCATTACCAAACAACTGGTACAAAAACTTGTTGATGGAGTTTCACAATAATAACATTCAAGTACACAATGAGTTTGTGGAAGAATTTGTGGAAGAAGCTGTGGATTTTCACAACAATGGCATTCAAGAGGTTCATGTACAAGGTGAAGGTGAAAAATGGAAGATTGGGTTTTTTTGTGTTTGTTGGTGATTGTGTGGATTATGTTGAAGTAGTTTTAAGTTGTTGTAAAACTTTTAAATGACAGTTGGATGTAAGTTGTATGTTGTTGAATGAAAAATGGTTTATTGGATACCTACTGTTTGAGCAATGTACAATTGTAAGTGTATGATGTGAGCAAATGAAGGATGTTTTTCAATATAACATAATGAACAAAATGGATGTAAGTTATACATCAACAAAACATACCAAAATCATCCAAAGTGTTTACAAAAGAAAGGGCATATCCCTATTAACAAATTTACCAAAAAGGGCTTCCTAACAAATTTGCCCAATCTAAAGTCCCAAAGTGTTAACAATGAAGCCATATTGTATATTGTTTACAAAAGAAAGGGCATATTAACAAATTTACCAAAAAGGGCTTCCTAACAAAGTTGCCCAAGTAGCCCATATAACTGCTTAAATCATAACCAATCTAATCCAAAGTAAGAGGTTTTTCTGGAGCCATTCCTATTCCTTTCTTGTCAATCACAATTTTCTTCAACATGTTTTTAGTGATCCTTTCAGAAGTTTTTCTTATTCTAACCCTGACTTGAGTTCTAACCCTAACATGGTATCATAAACTCCCTCTTCATCATCCTCAGCTCCATCTTCATCATTGTCCTCCTATGATTCTTCAGCTCCAACTTCATCATTGTCCTCCTGTGATTCTTCAGCTCCATCTTCACCATTGTCCTCCTGTGTTTCTGGTACATGTTCACTCACATAAGGCACATCCTTGCATTGGAAAGAATACAAGTTAGTTATTTTGTTGAAAAATAAAATTCACTGTCAATGTTATAATATATACCTTTGCAGCTTGTTTGGATTGGTGAATAAAAGCATCAAATCCTTTCAGTTGTGATTGGGTGATATTAAGACACATATGGATCTCTGCTTCACTGTATTTTGACTCTCTAAGGTAACTCAAATCACTCAGTATTTGATCCAGATCATCCATATCAATACCATCACCTTCATCATCAATGTTAACATCAGCTTCCTGTGTTTCTAGTACATGTTCACTATCAACAGTAGGTGCTGTTTGGGTGACAAATTGACTCTCAACATTAGGTGTCGTTTGGGTGAGAAATTGAGTCTCAATCCCAGGTTCTTTTTTCCCATAACTTTCACCTTCTTCATAAACACTGGTAGACCCTCTTCCACCACTTCTACCCCCTTTTCTACCACCTCTTCCACCTCTTCTACCACCTCTTCCACCACCTCTACCAAGTCTAGTGCAATTGGTCAATTTTGGATTCAACCTTGTCCTTCCTATTTTCTTCTTAGGCTTTGGTGTTGGTTGGACTGAGGGATTCTTGCAAGACACTTTATTGTGCCCCATTTGCATACAATTCTGACATTGGATAGCTCTACCCTTAGAGGAGACTTGGGAAAACCTGTCTTGATGCTTAGAGACATGCCTTTTCCTTTTCATACAAGGCCTTCCTGGCATCCTTCTTTCAATAGGTGGTAGTGGTTTGGTGTAAGGTGTTGGTTCCCACATATTACTACCATTAACAGGAAGGATGTTATACTCATAAGTAGTTAAGAACTTGTCCTTACCAAACCATGTGCTGATGAATCTAGTTGGATCCTGTTGTGTGTAAATTATGGTTGCTTGGGCATGGACACAGGGAATCCCAGATAACTCCTAAAGTCTACATGTACAGTACATCCCCTCGAAGTTCACTCAATATGAGTGGAAGCCATTTCTCACTTCAAAAGCATTCAAACCACTAGGATGAACAAACCAAGTCCTGCAAACACATTAACAGTTTTAATTAGTGTACACATTAACAGTTTCAAACCACTAGGATGAACATAATACTTACTTGATATCAAAAGCAAACTCATCCATTTTCTTAATAGCTCCTGGACACACATTATTCAGCTATTTATGTGCTTCTTGCTTCAAGTTAAATAACCTTTCCATCATATATAGTCTAATCTCCTCAAGCATGGCCTACGAAGGCTTCTTTCTGGCATCAAGTATGATGGCATCAAAACACTCTGTCATTCCATTTTCAACAGCCTCACATGCCATTCCACCTTTAAAAATGCCCTGCACCAAGATTTAGGCTCCCTTGCCATCAAATGATCATAAGCAGCAAGATTGACTTCTTTGATCTTCTCCATATTCAATTTGATGTCCCCTTCAACAGTTGAATTGACAACTGTCCAAAACATATTCTTGAACTCTATACCATTGAAGAACTTTCTGAAATTTGCATACACATGTCTTGCACATTGTCTGTGCTCCACACGTGGCAATACAACCTTTACAGCTTTCAAAAGACCCTATCAATTACATTAAAAAATATCATTACTAACTGCTTCATCCATGTATAAGTGAAATGAAAAAAGTAGATAATTGAAAACATTACCTTGTGTTGATCAGATTTAACACACAAATCCAAGCCTCCTTGTAATTCTAGGTCAGCATGTAATAGTTCCAAGAACCATTGCCAGTTGGGATTGTTCTCAATTTCAGCTACTGCCCAAGCAATGGGATACACATGGTTATTTGCATCCATCCTTATGGCAGTTAGCAGCTCACCTTCACATTGTCCTTTCAAAAAACTCCCATCAAGCCCTATAACTCTTCGACAACCAACTTTCCATCCTTCTTTGATAGCCTTAAAACATGTATACATTCTATGGAAAGTGGTAGTGTTATCAGGGTTTACAGTGACAGATATTTGAATTGTACTCCCTGGATTGGACCACATCAATTCATGTCCATAATCCCAAACTTTTGCATAGTGATCACTCAACTTTCCATCTATTAAAGAAATTACCCTACACTTTGCTCTATAACATTTTGACCATGAAACCTTGCAATGGAACCTGCTTTGAATAATAGCTTGCATTTTCTTACATTTCAGAATTTGGTTTTTTAATCATCTCCTTCAGAAACTGCCTATCCATGTGGGATCCATAAGATTAGCACTATGGAAATTCCTAACACAGGTATGTTGCTCAACCATTTTTTTGATTTGGAATGATCTTTCAGTGCTCATCCATGAGGCCCTTACAACAAAGGGACATTGAAATTTCTCAGGGTCACTTGCACATACAACCATGAGCCTTACACCATCACATTTCTTGAACCTAATTGGATAACCCCTACTTATAGAGTAATTTGTCAAACAAAGCTTCTGTTGGTGTGGTGATTCATACCTCTCTCCAAGAACTAGCTTCATATTGTTCCATTTCACCTTTGGATCATGGGTTGAGTATTGAAACTGCAATTTGTCTTAATCGTCACCTTCATTATCACTCTTCTTGTCCTACGGTGCTTCATCTTCTGACATTCCTCCAAAATCATTTAGGTTTATCTCAAGTATGGTGCATTCGTCAAGCGCTTCGTCTGCGAGAGTATTTGGGAACTCATCTTTGCATCGACTTCTTTGTTTGTGTTTGAAAAACTCATCCAATTCCACGCTAATGGTATCGAAGTCATCTACTGTCTCCGTTATCACTACAAAACAAAAATTAATCAAATATTTTAAGGGAAACACAATATTGGAGGACCACGTGGATTTTCTTACCTTTGATTCTTCTCAAGTATCGTTTTGCTTCGATGGAGGGTAAGAAGGGGTTTTTACAGATGAGGAGTTGATGATGGGGTGTTTAATGGAGGGTGATAAGGTCAATGAGCTGGGGTAACAGGCTCATATAAGGATTATTGGTTCTTAGGGCCAAACTAAGTGTATTAGCCGGTAATCTTTCCTTTTTCATAAGTAAAATTTAATTTAGGACTAACTCATAAATTGGGGCAAACTTTTGGGTCTTTTTCGCATATTTCCCTTTATCTATTATGTAAACTAGGTGTGAGACCCGTGTAATACACGGGGTTATTACAAGAAATGAATTTTTGCATTTTTATCCCTTAATAGCATCATACTTTCATTTGTATCACATAATACATTATGATGATATTAAGGGATAAATAGGCAAGTATGATGCTATTATGGTGTAAAAGCAAAATATAAATTATGATGTTATTACACAAATTAACAAACAAAAACAATATGAGCAGGGGAAATATTATTTAAGAACTGTAAAATCATAAAACTAAAGCCAAATATAAGTCTATAATGTTAAAAATAAACAATCTATAAGGTAGAATGCTATTACATTATTAAAACAAACATATTTAATGCAGTAAAATCAACGAACATTGTACAATTGGAATAAAAGGAAGCTAATATGTTCTATAAAGAGTATATGTGTTATAAAGATTGATTTTTTAGTTGCTTTTTTGCGTTGTTTAAGTAAAGATGTATAAATTCAAGGGGAAACCAGGAACACATAGCAAAACTTGTAAAACTGAATAGAAAAAACGAATTGCAATTTTCACCAAAACAATCCTAATAACTTCATAAAGGTAATTCAATCCAAATAAAATAATGTCAAATACTTCCAACCATCAAAGCAAAACAAACCCACACAAAGAAAAAACAAAAGTTGAAATAGTTAAAAAGGGAGAATCCACTTAAAATGTCCAATTGGGTTATATGATTAAAGATGCATTTATTTCTCTATTTTTGGAATCAAAAGTTCCATCTTGCCATGTCCCGAAAAGCCATCATCCATGATAGTTGAACGCACTTTTGTCGATGACATTGCTGGTGGGTCATCAACATCGTAAACTTCAGAAAGATTGCGCTTTAGCTTTGCATTGGGAGATACAACTTTAGAAAAACGGTATTTGGGCAACGGACTCGTCGTTGTGCTTTTCTCAACATTAGAGGCTGGAGTGATGTTATCTCCCGTGAATGATATTGCATCCTTTTTTTAAGTACATAAAAACTGATAGTTAAGTAGTAATTCAAATGAAGTTAAATTAAAATTATACTTTAAATGTAAAATAAATAGCACCTTCAAATTGGTAGTTTCTTGAGATGTGACTTCAAAGGTTGCAGTGTTGAAAGAGTCGGAATCAACATGCTGCAAATAAGAACATACTAAGAATGTCTTAAACAATATAATAGTATAGGGATTAAATAAATTGTGCAAAATTGATACCTGGTCAATTGTAAACTTCTTTTCAAGTTCAGAAAGTATTTTACGGTCAGTAGTCAACTTGCGTATTGAATACCCTTGTACTTTATTTTTCAAATTATATTCAGAAACTTCAATCAGAAACGCAAATTTCCTCTCAAGCAAATCAATGATTTCAACGGGGAAAATAGCAGTATTACCATCCTACAAGACAAATGGAATTGAATAACATGTAAGATAAAACATGAGAAGAACAACTAAGTTGTATAGTAAAACAGACCCAACCTCATTAAAAATTTCCAGCAATTCTTGTGCATTTTTAAAAAAAGCCTATTAGCATCACCATCAAAAAGAGTCAATGAAATTACTCATGTAGGATCTTGGACTCTAATTGGGATTTTAAACCTAAACATATTAAAAAACAATAATGAAATATTACATTAATGTGTAAAAAAATAATAACAATGAGAAAGCATAAAGTATGTGTTCAATACCTAGGAAGAACATATACAACTTTATTGTTGCAGATTGAGGATGAACACACAACCATTTTTTTGTCGTTTGATCCATCATTTAGCTCAATGTTCATCATAATATCTTCATTAACCTTCCTATGACACGATTTACATCCCCAATAATACCATGAAAAATCTGTGCACACACGCTTAACTGTACCAAGCACAATTACTCGGCTTACCTATAAAAAATAGAAGTTGTTTTAGTATACAATAAATTAAAATTAGGTAAAACTTAAAAAAAAAAAATACCTTTGTGATTTCTTGGATTTCGGTAATGGGTTTGAAGTCATGTTTCAAAAGAAACTCATCGGTCTCAGAATACAATAGGGATGATGAATCTTTGCTACGATTAGCAGACAGATTTTCAAAAGAATTTTTTGAAACCAAACTGTTAATGAATAAAGTTTAATTTTTGTTATGTAAAAATGCATAAAAACAGTACAATATTAAGAAAAAAGATGGAAGCTATCTAACGTGTTCTTGAATTGTAGGATTTCTTCTATGTTAGCATTGATGTAAAGCTTGGTAACAGAGTACCAATTTGAAACAGACAAACGACCTGCAAAAAAGAGTTATATTTTAGGTTTCTGTGTGAAAAATGGAACAAATATGAAATTTTATGTTGTAGTTATTTGAGTAGGGTCAAAACAGTACAATTGGTTCCCAATAAAATATAATATCAATTTGTTGTTTAAAGTGGGAGGAATTTATTACTTGTTAAAGTATATTGTTGTTTTTTGCTTTTAATATTCTGTTATAAATTTTACTCCTGGCAAAATAATATAAAGATTCAGGGGCAAATCAGTCATGAAAAAGTATAATAGTATATAAAATATATTTTTATAGAGTACAAATATGCATATCATGCATATTGTCTATAACTTAATTGTTTAATTTAAGCTTTATTTATAAAAAAGGAGTTGTGAAGGGACAATAATGGTAACCAAACAAAAAATATTAAAGTAAGAAACATACCTCGATAATCAGACACTTTTCCAAACTGGATAATTATTGTAACAGTCCTTTCTTCTGGATTATTTGACACATAATCAACAAATTGTTGAGCATACTCATCCCATAAAGTAACACTCACTTTTCGGCCTCTGAAAAAATGAAGTAAGGGGAAATGAGATTGTTATACAGGTAAAATAAAATTGTTTGTGTACAATAACCGGTTCTCACTCTAAATCTTGGATTGGCACATTCTGTCTACGTGTTTCCTTGCCATGCTTTGACATAAAAGTCTCCATCGGAAAATATAAAAGCACGTGACCAATTACATCTTGAGAAAATCAAAGTATAACACAAAGTATAACACAGGTAGTAGGAATGGTAATGCAAGAAAGAAAAGTATAATAAATTAAATAATTAAATTTAGATTAAGCACTAATCGACTGGTGTTTTTTCTGGAATATTATTTTTAATGATTGTTTGGTAATTCTCAAAAGAAAAACCGTACAGAGGACCCACAAAATCATTGGATTTGGTAACCATTGTGATTGGACAGAAATGTAATTTGTTTGAATTAATCACAAATTTGTTATCCGCAGTGTTTTCACCAACTTGAGGATTCTCGATATAATAAGATTCATTTTCAGTAAGCATCTTTTCAAATTTGAAAACCCACCTACTTGGAACTTGAGCTTAAATTTTAGTACCCTATATGCAAAAATCATAATTTAGAATAATAACATAATTATTAGAATACCACTTAGAAGTAGTATGCTTAACAAAAAATGAGACAAAAAAACTGAAAATTGAATAAATACCTCTTCATCAACTAATATCATATCAATACGAAAAGTCTTCTTCTTATCATAAGTTAGTTGTTTAGTCAATTGAATGACTCGAACTTTCAAAGTGAACTTCTCATGCAACAAATCAAGTTTTCCAAGTAGTGTGATGTTTTTAGGAGCCATGAATCTGTAACACGCACAACCAACAGAAGCTACATTATAGACAATGCTAATATTTGCCAAAACAGAATGTACAATGAATTGAAAGCATTATGTTATTATAGACAATGCTAATATTTGCCAATATTAAACATTTTTACTTATTCAAACAGAATATAAGTATTATGTTATCATGAACTAAAAAAGATAACTAACAAATTCTTAATTAAAAAGACCATACTACCCTTATACCCACGAGTAACTTTGGGGGTTATCAATACCTGTAATAACACCCACAATAAACATTTTGAAACATTTTTACTTATTCCAACAAAGTATAAATATTATGTTATCATGAACAAAAAATATATATAATCAAATATATTGTGGCAAATTTAGCAAATTTCTAATATTTACCAAAACAGAATGTACACCAAATTGAAACAAAAACAGTCACATCTATGATTTTATTAACAAATAAGAGTTTTTTTTTTTTTTTTTTTTTTTTTTTTTTTTTTTTTTTGCAGATTTGTTTTTAATCACTCGATCATGTGTGCAGGGATAATTTGATGCAAGTGACATTTTTTAATCTTAACTGAAGTTGTATATTAAGATTCTCAGAAACTTGCAAATTACACCAACTGGGTTATTTCAACTATCCTAGACCATTAACCATTTGGGGGGTTACATAGCAAGCAGTTATATCATCAAACACATAATCTTCATTTTGACCAATTATCGAGAAATCCAGAAGCTACATTATAGACAATGCTAATAAAACTTAAGTCATATTCCAATATTTTAATTTGGCTGAGGCGTTTTAGCAAACATATAGAGTACAATATATGAAAATTTTAGCAAACATAAAAAAATAACAATCTGAATGAAGCATTCAATCAACAAATAATGTAAGATTCTTCTTCAAACATTATCAGATGATGGTATGTATAAGATGAAGGAAATAAAATACATACCTGTATGCAGACTGCGTTGAAGAAGAATAACGATGACAACTTCTACAGATGGGAAATTGAGAGAATATGATAGATGATAGCAAACGTACTTATACACAGTTTTGATTATAGAATCCATTCTGTTTCCTAAAATATTGAGATATTACGCTGTCAATCTAAAAATCAAATCCTTTATCTTAGCATATAGTTTCAGGAAAACATCAATTCCCTATCAATTTTTTGCTGATTTTTAGGGGATTTAAACTTGATATCCGATTGTATGCTCGTTGTCGTTAAAATAAGAAAATTTTGTATTGAATGATGGTGACGAGATATACGATACAGGAATGTGAGCGTGAGAAACTTGTTTTGGTGGGGAAAATGAAAAGTAGAATCTTTTTAAGAAAATAAATTTGGAAATGTAGTGTTCGTCCATTTTTTTTTTGTATTAAAAATGCCATTGATTGGCATTATTTTGACTTCTAATTGCAATTTTTATGTTTATTCAAAACTAATATCCGTTTTTTTTACAAAAGTAACCCAAAATTGGTGTTGATATTGATGGAGTTAAAGAGATTGGCATTACCATCTAAAGAGGTTGGCATTGCCAGGTCATTTTTCATATATTGGCTTGCATTGTAATAAATTTGTTTTTATCCCTTATTCTTTGCCATAGTCTATACTGGATAACGAAAATATTTTGGCATCATTATTCGACAAATCTTATTTTATTGTACCAGTGAAATTATGTTTCTGTTTATTTAATTAATTTAAGAAAAGCCTTATAGTTTACACTTTGATAATTAATTTTTTTAAATGAACCCGTGTAGTACACGGGTCTTACACCTAGTTGTTTCATAAAATACAAATTATCTAAGTTTATTAATTTGACATAATTAAATTGAAAATAAATAGTAATACGAAGATTATAAATTATATTTTTTATTTCTATTTTTGATCTAAATGATCATTTTGACCTCTATATCCAAATTACTTAGATTTTAAATGTATATTAATAATTTATTTTCATTATTTTAAAATTGACATACTTCAAAAATTTATAATACACTAATATGAATATCTTAAAACATAAATCAATTTTAATTGTTAAAAAATTGTTATTTTGACCATGTTAACGGCAAATAATCATTTTGACAATTATACAATAATTAGTATTCTACTTGAATATTATTTTCTTATTTTTTTAAATGTACAATTACTAAAAAAATTATAACTAAATGATTAATGATTACACATTCATATTTATTTTTTCATGGTATAGTAATATAAAGTTGAATTTTAGAAATAAATATGAAGGCAATGATGATTAATTCAATAATTGAATCTATACAAATAAAAAAAAGTATTGAAATATTTTAAAAAATAACTCACAAATTTCCAAATACTTCTTTGAATACAACATTAGACGTTTTATTGCTAAGGTTGCCATCACTATCTAAAACTAATATTTTTAATCCATCTTTGCTTTTAACTCTCGACAATGCAACATACAACTGTCCATGAGTGAACACTGATTGTCTCAAAAATAAACCCATTTTCGATAGTGATTGTCCTTGACTCTTGTTTATTTTCATTGCAAAACATACAGCCAATGGAAATTGTTTTCTTTGAAATGTGAAAGGAATTCTTTTTTCTGAAGGAGTTAAGATCATTCTTGGAATAAAAGTACGGTTTCCTATATTACTTCCGGAAATTATCTCTGGTTCTATAACACGGTTACCCAATGTTATAACTCGTAGTCTGGTTCCATTACACAAACCACTTTTCAGATCAATATTCCTTAGTAACATAACTGGAACACCGACTTTTAATACCAACTTATGGATCGGCAAACCTGAGAGTTTAAGACCATTTAGAACATCCGGCGAATACAAGCTTTCATCAATGTCATTATGAACAAAATCTGAATGACAAAGAATGTCTGAACTCAAGTATTCTTTTTTCATCACCTGGAAATAGTGATAACAGACGATCATTTATTTCCTGAACAACTTCGTTTTTCGGTGCAAGGATTGCTCTTTCTTGAAAAAACTTGGGATGATTGGCATTTTCAATAATAGAAGGATAGACAAATGCAATTAATGAACCGATTGGATCAGATGAATCAGTAATGAGAAGATCATCTGGTATATCAATAATTGCCTCACCATCATTGAAACCACCCACATTTCCTTCTCCTATATCCAAAAGCCAGTTTGCAAAGGCCTTTGTTTCCTCAATATCATTTGTTTGATCACTCAACCTCATGTTTTTTGTTAATCTTAAGACTTTGCAATCTGGCCAAATGTAGGAGGAACTTAATGAAGCATTCACAATGTCTTGTCTGCTTCCCTTTGGAACAACAGGTAGAATCTGCCTAAAATCGCCTCCAAAAACAATTGATTTTCCTCCAAATGGCAATTTTGAGTTGTTGCGAAGATCAAAACTGAATATATCCTTCAAAGATCGATCCAACGCTTCAAATGCATGTTTATGAATCATCGGTGCCTCATCCCATATAATCAATGATGCTCGTCTTAACAAATCGGCAACATCACTATCCGGCACGAATGAACAAAAAGAATCCTTAGTAAGATTTATAGGAATTATAAAGCGAGAGTGTGTCGTTCTACCTCCGGTAAGTAATAACGAAGCAATACCACTTGAAGCAACATTTAAAATGATTTCACCTTCAGATCTTAAGGCTGCAGACAATGTCTTCTAAAGAAAAGTTTTCCCAGTACCACCATAGCCATATACAAAAAACACGCCTTTTTTTTTTTGTTGAATATGTTTCATGATTTCGTCAAAAACACCTCTTTGTTCAACTGTTAATGAATCCAACAGATGAATCAACTCGTTGTGTAGAACGGTCCTGTCAAAATCTAGCTCCTCGGTTATCAAACGATGGTTTGAAGAAGATATAGATTCATGATCTGGGTAAGGCATCCCATAATAATCTTTGAGGCTTGAGTTGTTCTGGAGTAAAACTTTTTCAATCTCATAAAGGGTCAAGTTCTTAAGTTGATCCTCAGTAAGCGATAAACCTGTATAAATTGAAAGCTAATTATTTATAAAGAAATATACACAATCACAAATACATAGAAATAATGTTTCCAAAAATAATATGTTAACGTATTATGAAAAAATGTAATTGTGAATAAAAAAATACTTATTAAACATAAGTATATTATTAATGCATATATTTAAATGTTAAAAAAATATCATAATACCTGGAGAATTTAATCGCTTCTGTTGATTGTATAGAATTCCACCTGATAAATATTTCTATGTATTATCCCTAACACGGGACAGGTTAGACAAACTATTCGACTTTAGCATAATTGCAAATAGAGATTGTAAATAATAACCAGACCCTGAATGACTGGCTTCCTCGATGGCATCAATGTATTCTCTATCATCTTCTAAAAGTCCAAGAGCATAACATGTCTCTCTAAAAGTAGCATATACGTGACCATTTACCGTGCGGATATCTTCAAACGATTTCGGACCTTTGACTTTATTTAAAAAAATTCTTAAAAAATACGCTTCACCGAGATTAGGTGAAACTGCAAGAATTCTTAATCAAATATTTTAAGGGAAACACAATATTGGAGGACCACGTGAATTTTCTTACTTTTGATTCTTCTCAGGTATCGTTTTGCTTTGATGGAGGGTAAGAAGGGGTTTTTACAGATGAGGAGTTGATGATGGGGTGTTTAATGGAGGGTGATAAGGTCAATGAGCTAGGGTAACTGGCTCTTATAAGGATTACCGGTTCTTAGGGCCAAACTGAGTGTATTAGCTAGTAATCTTTCCTTTTTCATAAGTAAAATTTAATTTAGGATTAACTTATAAATTGGGGCAAAATTTTGGGCATTTTTCGCAGATTTCCCTTTATTTATTATGTAAAGTTGTAGGGTTTTTTTTTTTTTTTTTTTTTTTTTTTTTTTTTTTTTTTTGATATATGACATATTTAAAAGACGACAAGTTATATAAAGAGGCTTTATAAAACATTAAAGATTTAAGATAGATAATGCTAAATTATTTAATTCTACAAAATTTGAAAAATATTAACTACTTAAGAAGGTTTCGGACAATATATTCCAGTTACATACAAAATAGTGAATAATGGATATAACAATAATAATACGTTTTTCCAATGCTAATCCCAAAATGCCCTTATATTGTTCTATTATACTTTGCTCAATTATTTTGTTAGTAGGTAAAAACCAACCTTCTATGAATAACTAATCTTTTATAAACGTTACTCGTATATAGCAATAAATAATAAGTTTTTCAAAAGCTAACTCTTAAATGCCTTTACATAGTCATAATATATTTCTATCATACTTCGCTCAATGATTTTGTTGGTAGGTAAAAACCAACCTTGTATGAATAACTCATCTTTTATAAACCTTAATCGTAACTTCGTTTGTTAAGGACAAACTATTCGCTTCATCTTCTTGTCTTATTTTTAAATTTTTATTTATCACATTGTTTTATTAAATATTCAAACTGCAAAAGAATTTTGTTGAAAATAATACATTAGCACATGTTGTCCAAATCTTAATAATAAGTTTTTGACAAATTCATATGTTAATCTCTAGAAAAGTATTGGATAAGCAGGGACGGACGCAGAATTTCATAGTAAGGGTTGCACGGGAAGATTAGGGGTTGCACGATAGTACAAAAAAAAAAATTTTAAAATTTTCGAAAATTTTTCCACTGCGGCCGGAAAATTTAGGGGTTGCCGGTGCCACCCCGGAACCCCCCTATATCCGCCACTGTGGATAAGCTCATGTATAATAATTATGTATAATAATTGTTTAAATTAGAGGTGACAATCGTGTCGTGTCGGAACACTAAACGGGTTGAAAGTGCTTGACCCTAACCCGACCCATTTAATTAACGTGTCGTGTCGTGTCAACCCGTTTATTTTCGTGTCGAGTTTCGGGTTAGGGCTATACCTCAAAATATGTCGTGTCATGTGAGGTTAAAAGATTGAGCATGTTGAAAGAGTAGGAGTTAGATAGGCAGAAAGGAAAAGCTAATAGTTTGGAGGCAGAATAGATGAAGCCATAGCAAGTTCAAATGACAAAATTAAAAGAGTGAGAGTTAGGGAGGCAGATGACAAAGGTCATGAGGATGTGAGAGTGGTGAAAGAGATTGGGTAGTTTGGGAGAGAATGGAAAATTTGAAATGAAGTCTTGAGCTAGATGGCTAAGTTATTTCAACATTAGAAAACAATTAAATTCAAAGACTTTCTTTTACTTATGGTTTTGATTTTGTATTTCTCTAGTTTATATAAATAATTCAAAATACTTGCATATAAATAAACGGGTTATTTTTGAGTCATATTCGAGTTGAAATTCTCAACCTTAACCTTACCCATTTAATTTTCGTATCGTGTCGTGTCAACCCGTTTATTTAAATG